TCACAGAAAGTGAACATTTTTCCTGGCAGAGCAGGGACTATGAGCTCTTTTATCTGCACCCCATAAAGGTCTGGGATGTCTCTTTGAGCTTGGCCAATAATTTGAAACTAATCCAGATTTTGTTTTTCCTGCAGGTTTAAATGAAAAGTGAATGTTTTAAGTGGAAGAGTAAGAGGTACATTGAATTTGGAAATATGACCACAGCAGCAGCAGAGCTGTGGAAAAATTCAAGGAGTTACTAAATCTTTAAAACTCAATTGTTTAGAAATTAGGCACATAGTTTAAAAATGACATTTTGGCAAAGCTGAGTGAGTTACCCTTCCCATCATATATTTTATTAAACCTTTGCCATATGTCCAGTCTTAACTGGCCAGGAGTGTCCCCTGGAGTGGTCCCTGGTTGCCTCCAAACCCACAAAATGACCACAGCACAGCCTTTGCTGCCATTGCTCATCAGCTCTTGAAGAAGACTTGATGCTTGATTCTAAATTCCTGGAATCAAAGGGGAACTCCTGCCATTTTCATTTGGCAGCAGGTCTGAGTCCTTGTGAAGGGAGGCCACTGGAGGAGATGATCTTTCTCTCCCATGATACTGCAAGTATCACAAGCTAAGCAGCTTTGAGTTTCTTAAGACTGAACTGCTTCTCTCACGCTGTAGGAACAGAAGAACATCTGGTCTTAGCTACTGTTTTTCAACTGGATCATCTTGTGCCTCACTAAAATGAATGAGAAACACATGCAAGCTATATTTTCAAAAAGTTGTATTTCATTGATGCAACTAAAGTAGTGATTTTCACATGCAATTAGATACACAGATGTAGACAAGCAGCAATTTACACACACACACTACATTTCCAACTAGGCCCAACGCACATTCCCATCTGCTCTGCACATGCGGGGTCGGCACATGGTGCAGAGGCATGGGAAAGTATTTACATGTGCAATTGTATCTTCCCACAGCAATGCCTGGGAATTAGAAAGGACTCACTTGGACAATATTTTGGATGTAAAATCTGATGACACTTTCAATTCTGTTCTGCAGGCCCCACTATAAATAACACTAATTATTAATTATGATCTGCCTACAACAGCTCTTCCCCAGCCACTTTGCAATAGGCCAGAGACGAGGAGCTCAAATCACCCTTGTGTTATTCTGCTTTTGAGAAGTATTTTGGAATAGACATCAGTGTCCAAAGCACTTCAGAAACAGGTTGTACAAAGATGTCTTCGAGACATTGATGAAGAGTGAAGAACTGAGAAGTGACTGGAGCCGCTCTGCTCTGGAGCCAGGCTGGGAGAGCTGGGGGTTGTTCAACCTGGAGGAGAGAAAACTCCAGGGAGACCTGAGACCCCCTTCCAGGGCCTAAAGGGGCTCCAGGAGAGCTGGAGAGGGACTTGGGGCAAGGGATGGAGGAACAGGACACAGGGGGAATGGCTTCCCAGTGCCAGAGGGCAGGGTTAGACAGGATTGTGGGAAGGAATTCTTAGCTGTGAGAGTGGTGAGGCCCTGGCACAGGTTGCCCAGAGAAGCTGTGGCTGCTCCTGGATCCCTGGAAGTGCCCAAGGTCAGGTTGGATGGGGCCTGGAGCAACCTGGGCTAGTGGAAGGTGTCCCTGCCCATGGCAGTAGGGGATTAGATCTAGATGATCTTTAAGGTTCCTTCCAGCCCAAACCCTTCTGTGATAGTATGATTCTATGATAGTCCAACCTAATCAAAATGTTCAGGAGATACCGGTCAAGATCATAAAAAAAAAAAGGTTTTTTTTCTTTTTTAATGATATCACATTAAAACCACGGGAATGTTTTCCTTACTAGAAAAGTACTGTGCTCTGAAAAATGCTACTTCTTAGGAAGAAGAGTGAGACTTTGGGAGAAGGCAAGAGGCTGGGGAGTTGGCTTGGCCCTTTGCAGTGCATGCTGTCCTGTAAAACCTCTCGTGGACTCTCTGCAGGCTCTCTGAATCTTAGATGTCCAGGTGATAAGATTGGAATATTAACCTTTACTTTTTTTGACATGTGAAGATAGAAGCAGGGTGTGGTAGGCTGAAATAGTGCAGTGGTTAATAACGACATTATAGAAGCCATTGATGTAAGAAAGAGAATGCTCTTTGTCTTTTCAATGCAGAACCACTGAAAAAACCCCAAACTCTAATGACATTAAAATATTTGTGGTTTTTTTCAGAGAGTACAGCAGATGCAGTGGTGAGGGCCAAGCTCCTGTGGAGCCAATACCATGAGTTTGTTTGTTCTACCATAAGCCTTCAGTGTTGAGTGGGCTGGGTTGAAGTTCACTGTGATGATACTGGCAGTGTCTCTACCTGTGTGGAGATCCACAACAGCTGTGACTGCCCAGGGGTTGTTCAGGTGAGCTGTTGGGATGCAAAAGCAGGTACAGCATCAGCCACGCAGGGAGAGGGCAGTGAGCGCCTTGGAGGATAAGGCTGTGGGCAGCAATAAGAGTTAATGTTCATCTCCAAACTGGGAGAAGAAAGTGACAGGGGAAGGCCTGGAGAGGGCCCATGGCAAGAGCCAGACAAAAGTCACAGGAGAGGTCAGGGATGGGTGAGAGCAAGCTTGTGGGGGAAGGAATGGGCAGGTAGGGTCTGGGGGACAAACAGGGTGTGAGGGCAGTGCCAGCCAGGCTGGGGGAGGGAGGGTCATGAGTCACAGTCACCTGAGCTCCCAGCAGCTGAATGCTGAGATGTGCCTGTCCTTCCACATGGAATTACCTGCTGGAGTCCTGGCTGAGAGCTTGCAACAGACGTCTGCTCATTTCTCTAAACAGATCATTTATGTGACCCCTTCAGTCCTTGTTTCTATTAACAGGCCAAGCAAGTTCTAAGTGCCAGCATACTGAAGAAGTGGAAAAGTTGGTTTATGGAAGGGGAAAAAGGAGAAGGAAAAGAAAAACAAAAGCCAAGTTATTTCCACAATGTTTGCATTCCCGTGTCTTAACCACAGTATTCCCAGCACGTGCTTTTTTATAGTGCATCTGAAAACCAACCACAATGCAAAAGAAGCTTCAAAGATTTTAAGGAAAGCAAAGCTGAGAGGCAGACAAGGGAGTGAAGTCAGGCAGTGAGGAGCAGAGTACAGGAGCACTGCTGGGCTGGCCTACCTCACACCCCTCTCTCCTGCAGTCCCAGCCAGGACCTCGCTCTGCAGGTGACCCAGAACAGCAGCACACATTAAGGACAGGAAGATCTGTAGAACTCAGTTATTTAAGGGGTTTGAGTTTCCTTTTAGGTTGAAATACCAGACCATGACCAAAATATATGTAAGTGCAAGTCCTTTTCCCCTGCATTTAAAACAAAGCGAGTCCTGGTGGTGTGGATGTTAAGTCAGGTGGGGAGAGGGGGAGGTCAAGGACTGGAAGGTGTCTGGTGCTGCACCTGGTGGTGGATCATAGCCGGAGAGAAGTGAGCAGAGGTACTTGTGGAATTACAACAGGACATGCAAGTGTGAAACATTTCTGATATATTTTACTGGACTAGGGATGTTCGAGGGGTTGAAGGAATTAGTGCATTTGGTTGCCAAAAGCTACAAACCACAAAGGCTACACCACCACTGATGTCCTCATCACCCACACAAAATTCTTCATTACCATCACAGGCTGGGGGGTGACCTACTGGAGACCAGCTCTGGGAGAAGGCCCTGGGGGTCCTGGGGGACAACCAGCTGTCCCTGCCCAGCCGTGTGTCCTGGGGGCCAAGGCGGCCAATGGGATCCTGGAGGCATCAGGAAGAGCCTTGGAGCAGGGCAGGGAGGGGATCCTGCCCCTCTGCCCAGCCCTGGGCAGGCACATCTGCAGGGCTGGGCCCAGCTCGGGCTCCTCAGCACAGCAGGGCCAGGGAGCTCCTGCAGCGGGGCCAGCGCAGGCTGTGGAGATGCCCAAGGGATGGAGCAGCTCTGGGAGCAGCAAAGGCTGAGGGAGCTGGGGCTGTTCAGCCTCCAGAGCAGAGCCTGAGAGGGGCCCTCCCCAGGGGGTGTCAGGGGCTGCAGGGAGGGGGCAGAGGCTGGAGCAGGCTCTGCTCGGGGGGCCCAGCAATGGCACAGGAGGAACGGGCAGGAACTGATGCCCAGGAAGTTGCAGCTGGACAGGAGGAAGAACTTCTTTGCTGGGCAGTGAGCCAGCCCTGGAGAGAGAGCAGAGAGGGTGTGGAGTCTCCTGACTGGAGATCTTGCAGAGCTGTGTGGACACAATCCTGTGCCATGTGCTCTGGGATGGCCCTGCTGGAGCAGGGAGGTGGGACCAGATGAGCCACTGTGGGCCCTTCCAGCCTGAAGCACTCTGAGATTACTGGCATCTATCCATTGCACAACCTGGCTTGTCTGCAACAAATAAATTGCATTATGGCTTGGTCATAGTCCACTCCATATACAGTGACTCTAGAGACTGAATTAAAATGTGACCTCAGCTGATAGATTATGATCTGATCTATCATACTGCAAGATCTGAAGTCACATTTCTGCTAAGACAAAAATCTCTACTGCTCTTACAGGAATGAGTGCCCTGAGGTTGCAGAGTGCAGCAGTGCACACCAGCATCACACTGCTCACAAGACAAGCTGTGTCTGCAGTGGTTTCTTCCTTGACTAATACCAATACAATTTGTAAACATCTGATAGCCTACGATCAAAGAGTCTGGTGCCAAGCAAAAGGGTTCAGACTAGAACACATGACACTAATTAGCAGATTCCTACAGAAGACCTCCAGCCCATTTGGCTCCTTGCAGGCTGAACTCTTGGCTGGCTGCAGGACAATTCAAAAAGGTATCTGCAGCACCAATGAACTGGGCTGGTCTGCCCAGCAGCCATGTGTTTGACTCACTGCTGGGCCCAAAGGTAGAATCATAGCATGTCCTGAGTTGGAAGGGACCCACAGGATCATCAAAATCCAACCCCTGGCCCTGCCCAGACACCTCAACAATCCCACCCTGTCCCTGAGAGCAAACCCTCCTGGAGCTCTGGCAGCCTTGGTGCTGTGCCCACTACCCTGGGGAGCTTGGTCAGTGCCCAAACCAGCCTCTAGGGGAAGAACCTTTTTGTGATATCCAGCCTAACACTCCCCTGACACATCTCCAGCTGTTCCTTGGGTCCTGTCACTGCTCACACAAAGCACAGATCTACCCCTCATGAGGAAGCTGCAGACCCTGGTGAGATCTGATCTCAGTCTCCTCCAGTCTAAACACCTCAAGTGCCCTCAAAAGCTCCTGGTATGGCCCCTCCAGGCCCTTCAACACCCTCCTGTCCCTCCTTTGGACATTTTCTAACAGCTTTAGATCTTTCTGATATTGCGGCACCCAAAGTTGCCCCCAGGACTCAAGGTGAGGCTGTCCCAGGGCAGAGCAGAGAGGGACAATCCCCTCCCTGATGCCCCCAGGACAGGGTTGGCCCTCCTGGCTGCCAGGGCACTGCTGACTCAGGGCCAACTAACCATCAACCAGGACCCCCAGGGCCCTTCCAGTCTCTCATTCCCCAGACTCCTCTCCGGTGTCTCATTCCCCAGTCTGCCCCTGTCCCCAATGCAGAATCTGGCACTTGTCCTTGTGAAACCTCATAGGCAGCCAAGTGCAATAAAGTATTTTCTAAGCAACTCTTATCTATATTCAGGAGTCTGGAAATAATTCCCAAATTAAATGGAAAACTAATTCCTAAGCCACCTAAGCATGACTGGCATGACAAATGGTGAGGTGGCTACCTGGAGCCATGGCTACCTGGAGCCATGGCTGCCTGTCCCCTTCCCTCAGTGTCTCAGCTCAGCAGCTCTTCTTGGTGCAATGACTGGGATTGTTGTGTTCCTCTAAGGCCCCTGTCTGAGCCACAGACCAGAGTGTGACTCTCAACTGGCTGGAAACAGCATAATTATATCAAAACCAGTCAAGTAGCAGGGCTGTGACCCTGGCCTGCTTTGTTCTGTTGGGATTTTCTGTGGCTTTTTTATTGCATTACACAGGTTTTCACTTTGCGACTCCCAAGGCTTCTCCCTCGTGGTTTGGGATCTTCAGAGCAGGTCTTGTGCAGAGAGCAGAGTATCAATGTGAGCACTCAACATCATAGTCTAGCACCACATCAATATGATTATTGTTACATTACTCTCAGCCTGGCTTCTGTAAAGATTGCAGATCTGCTGGCTGAGACATTGTATGTCTCCAGTGTCGGAGAGAGCCACTGCTGAAAAATGCAAAGTCTAAACTATTGTCCCAGTCTAAGGCAAGAGAAGAGAGCCCTAGAAATAGCTGAGGTTTTTGAGAAAGTATGGCTCCTACAGTTGGGTCTAGCTCAGATGTTCTCTGGGCATTGAATTAATGTAACCAAGACCTCAGAAGAGCATCCTGAACCTCCCAGTTTTGAATCATTTTGGTGTAACTAGGGGGAATTTCACAGGTCCATCCTTTCCACCAGCATCACTATACCCCTATTGGCACTGGCACTGCATTGCTTCTGTACACATCTGGATGTCAGGTGGCCTGCTGAAATCCAGAAGGGGATTTGGAGTGTATTTTGGAATATGCAAAGTGTGACCATGAGCCTGGCTTATACATTTCCAGGGTAAATAGTCTCTGCATGCAGCACTGAGCAGTGCAGTGCACACACCAGCAGGCTGGTGCACCTCGGATGTTAAGGACCCAAAGCCTATGTACTACAGCAGATCTGCAGTTTCTGCTCCTGTTTCCACCCCAGGCATGTGTGGCTAACTCCCAATTCCCACTGGGATTCCCTATAAAGCAATACACCAGCTCCGACCTCCCCTGTCACATCTTATGAAGCTGGGAGCACCCTGCTTCAGCAGCCACCCATTTGAGTGAGGATGGTCCTGCCGCTGGCATCGCTACCCCTGGGCAGCAGCATTTTGAGACAGTCAGTGTCCTGTCCAGTACATATCCCTGTAGCCTATTTGCCACCCCAGCATCCTCTCCAGACACAGGGGACAGCAGTGGTCACTCAACTAGTGAAATACTGTCACTGCAAAGCTCCAAGCAGTGAGTCCATCCTGTGTGATGGAGCTCCTTTGCTCTCTCAGGGTTTTGTCAACACCTCAGTCTTATTAAAATGTTGCTTTTAAAGTCAATTTCCTTTTCTTTTCTTTGTAGTTTATAGAGTGTTGCTGAAGACCTTCTCCCAGGCTAAAATGAGGATCAGTTCCAGGTTTGCAGTCATATCAAAAGTGGGTTTGTGATTTATTTCAGGGGTGCTTGTGTAATTACCCATACCTCACACATACCTTCCATTCACACCGAGTTTCCCTGTAGCTAATGAGTCTTCCCAGAGAGGAGAAGGAGGAGGTCTGGTTGATTCCTTAACCCCGTACAAATTAATGAGCTTCTCTGTAAAGACAGTGGGTCCTGAAAGCTGTCAGGTCTCATTGTAAGTGGAAGTGGCTCAGCTTCCTTACACCGAGCATTTCAGACACATTTTGCCAACAACATCATGTTGATGTTCTCTTTTTTCCACTATTTCTATTTGGGTCAAAATGTTGATGGATTTGTCTTGCCATTATAGCTTCTATCATCTATAGCATCATGTTGCCTACACAAGGCAGGGTTTGGCCAATGGTGCTCCAAAAAATACTCTTAAATACTTGGATATCTGAATCCAACATATGCTCATACTGGGAAATGTTTGGAGCAGTGATTATGTTTCAGAATTATGAAATACTGCCTTTGGTACCAAGTTTAAGTGTCTTTGGCACACAGCCATGGGATGAGTTTTGCCAACATGCCATGTCCATGTTGGGACACCTCTGCAGGACTGCGTTTTTGCACCCATAGATCTGGGCATATCTGTATGTTAGAGAGAGGGGATGCAAAGCAGAACTTGCTGGGGTACCTGCAGGAGGTGTGATGGACCTTTGGACAGCCCATTAAAGCAATCAGGTGCTCACCAGCCCTGGGGCTGGGAGGCAAATGTGGCAAGTGGACAGTGCCAGCTACCGACCTGTGTGCCAGCCCACGTGCAGAGCAGCTCAGGGCAGCCTTTGGACTCTGTCTGCAGAGAGCTGTGCACTGGCCCCCAGCGTCAATGAGAGCAGCCTGGAGACTGTTCTAAATTACGGGACTGCTCCAATCCCAGAGGCAGGAACACATCTGGCTGGGCTCCCATCAGGGGATAAGGCCTGGAGGTGCTACTTTGGCTCTGTCTCGTAGTCAGACTTCCCTTTACTGGGGTGATCTTCTCACAGATGCCTGTACAGGGCTCGCGCTATCAGAGATGGGAAACCATTTCCATCTTTCCTTTGCTGGAAAGACTAATCCTGATGTAAAGTGTTGTCAGCCACCAGGCCTGAATTCACTGGCCAACCTGCCCCAGGTAGGGTCACCCTTCTCTCCCCATCATCAGCAGCTCTCTTTAGGGTTCCTTGACAAGGACCTGCCCCAGTGCTGCCTCTTTTTCTGCCCAGGGTGTGGATGAAAACCGGCAAACACACATTCAGCTGATCTCCGGGTACCACCTTAGGTCAGACAACCTCTTCTGACCTTGTCCAACCCTTGTGCTGGATACTGGGCTGACCTTAGCAAAGAGGCTCAAAGCAAGTGAAGGTCGCACAGACTGACATCTCCTCCCAACCTCCTGCCCTCCCCACATGCTCATGAAGACAAATCCAGACCCTTCATGTTTAAATTCTCTAGACCTGAAATACTGTTCTACTGCTGTTACTGTCTTTTAAAAGTTTTTAAGCTTTTACAGTTTTCTCTAATCACTCAAAAATTAATTCTTGAAAAGGCAACCAGGAAAAAAACCAGCAAACCACCAGCGCAAACTAGTCACTAGCCCCGATAATGTCACTTTTTCCTGGGATGGGGCGTTATCAAAGCAGACTAATGAATTCTCATCTTAATACAAAACAGTTAATTCACTTATTTCCAGGTGATTTAGCTACTGCTGAGGATGAAAACCCTTTTAAGTATGCTCCCCCTGCAGAGGTCAGCTGGAGAAGGCAGAGCACAGGCCACTCTGAGCAGCAAAGGGCAGTGCTTGTGCTCCCCATCCCAAATGAGCCATGGAGCCCTGGACCACAGCACTGACTGTGTGCACAGCTCTATTTTCCCCTTTGAATTAAGCAATAATCAATCTTCATATTGGCTTTCTGCTCAGGAGGAAAGTTTATTTCAGTCCCTGTGAGTATTCTGAATCTCTTCAACTGGCAGAAAAAAGACATGAGAAAAAATGGATATATTTTTTTTAGTGCACATCCAAACAAATTAGTGTGATTTCAGATGTATAAGCTAATGTATCTCCTTGCATTAGCATACTTCTTAACTTCAGGCAAGAGTTTTGAAGATGTAAATGTTTGGGATTTGGAAAAAAATGTGCCTACTTATGAAATCTTGTCAGTCTGATGGCCAAGCTCACCTCCCACATCAGTCCCTTGTCCCAGATGCTCTGGTCTAAAAGCCTCCTGTCCCAAAAACCAGGGCATTCCCGAGAGAAGGAAGAGTGTTCAGCTTTTACCTTCTCAGCCTTATCAAATGGGAAATACAATTGTTCACACAAAGGCTGAACCACTGCCCACTGAGCTCCAATCTTTGTGGTGGATTTTGTAAGACAGAAGATATTAATTATAACAAAAAACCTTTTATAGACAAGCTTAAGTATTTGCAAGATATATATCTTTAAAGATATTATACAAAGCACACGTTTTCAGAGACAACACATATTAAATGGACAATAATAATGACAAAGTATTAACCCTGACAGAAGATGCTGAAAATTTTAGAGCTTTAGGGAGAATTTCTGAAAAATTAGATTTTCCTGACAAAAGTCTCCTGTTATTCTGTCACTCTACTGGGTGTCTGGAAGGAGGTGAAAGTTGGGACTTAGACACTCCCACTCCTCTCCCAAACACCATTTATTTCAGTAGCAAAACACTGTCTCCCAGTTCTCCTCAGCATCTCCCAGTTTACTTTTTTCATAGAATCGTCACAGAATAGTTTGGATTTGAAGGGACATTAAAGACTATCAAATTCCAAACCCAGTCATGGGCAGAGGTCCTTCCCCTGACCAGGCCTTGAACTCTTCCAGGGTTGGGGCACCCATGACTTCTCCTGGCAATTTGATTATTTATTTTTTTCTAGAATTAATACTTTCAGACAAAAAGGAACATGGGGGCCAGGGGACTGTGTTAATGGTTGTCTGACCAAGCTTGTTTTGTTCTGGCAGCCTTTCTTTGTGATCCTAATGATCTCTTTCATTTATTTGATTGCATGTTTAGGGTTGAATGTAACTCCCAGGAAATCTTGTACAATTCAGCTGACCTGCCCAAGAGAGTAAAATATGGCTGTTTGTAACCGTGGTGGGATGATCTGGAGCCCCCCAGATGGAAGGTGCTATGCAGGTATTGAAAATTCTGATTTTTTAAGTGCTGGGGGGATGAGGTCTGTGCATGGCTATGTCAGCCTGGGGAGTACAAAGTGGATTCCCATATGGTCAGTTTTTAGGATTTCTCCTGTTTCAAATCTGCATAAATGGCCCACTCAAGGAGGCCAAACTATTAGAAACAGCTGACAATGAAAAAGGGGGAGGTGAACGCCAAGCAAGCAGCAAGTAAACCATGTAACTGAGCTGACAGATGGCAAATTAATGTTGTCAAATAGAAAGAAGTACATAAAGCTAAGGAGCACTATGACCAGATTGCTTTCTTGCACATGAAGTCTTTAATCATATGGATATCCTTGCTATTTTTACTCTAATGAGATTGGGAAAGAAAAATAAGACTGAGGCATCAAATTTAAGCTGAATTTGCTTTGAATCCACAAGAAATTGAAGCCTTTATAGAAACAAGGAGAATTATTTGCCAGGCAAAATTAGTGTCACAGATGAACTTGTTTATGCTTCTGAATTTTGACATGTTTATTTTACTGGTAATATTGCTGTAGTGAAAGAGCGTAATAACCAGTGTAGATAAGCAGTCAAAGGAAGTCAAGTGAAAACTGATGTTCATGGAGCTTTTTGCCCTTAGGCAAAGGCAAAATAAGAACCCAACCCACCAAAACCCTTCTCTCTACTCATTGGTAAAAGAAGGGGGAAAGAAAAAAAGAAAAAAACATTTCTGTCATAAGACACAACTTGATGAAATACCAATGGGGCAAGTAAATGAACATCAAATAATTGAACATCAAATAATTCTGCATTTTATACTGAGACTACAAATTTGATGTGTTTCATGTATTTCTTTATTGGTAAGTGTGAGCATGTCTTTTAATCAAGAGGTTAATGTGGGCTCTGACAACTATTAAGGTGTTCACACCTCTGATTAAAGGGAGAATAGGCCTGTATTTGACCAAGGAGCTTGGTAAACAAATACATCAATCATAGGAAAATATCCCCCATTATGTTCCTGGTCAGAGAAAGCCGCCAAAGCAGTTAAAAGGAAGCAATTTTCCACAGTGCTTGGAGGTAGGTAATATAAAATAATCCATAATTAAGTTTAATCATGGCTTATCAGACCTTTCTAGGACTGTGAGCATTGTGGTTAATGTTTAACATATTGCATTTGCTACAAGTTTCCTCTGATGCCATTTCAGTGATACAACGAGCCCATTTTATTCGGAACTGCAGATGTGACAACTGTGTCTGGAGGCCAGATTCATCACTGATGTGACTTGGGACAGTGCAGCAAGCGCTGAGATTATGGTCCTCTGCTAATAAAAAAAAAGATTTGCTCAATGGAGCCAATGGAACAATCCAATTTCCACGTACGAGCCTGGCTCAGCTGTTGGAATGGCCAGATCCAAATCCTTCCGTCTGAAAAGAGGCTCAGGGGAGACCATGTCACTCTCTGCAACTACCTAAGAGGAGGTTGCAGCAAGGTGGGGTTCGGCCTCTTTTCCCAGGAAACCAGTGACAGGACAAGAGGAAATGGCCCCAAGCTGTGCCAGGGGAGGTTCAGGTTGGGCATCAGAAAGAATTCCTTGTGGAAAGGGTGGTCAGGCACTGGCAGGGGCTGCCCAGGGAGGTGGTGGAGTCCCCACCCTGGAGGTGTCCAGGGAAGGACTGGACATGGCACTGAGTGATCTGGGCTGGGGGACAAGGTGGGGATCAGGCACAGGGTGGACTGAATGATCTTGGAGGTCTTTTCCAACCTTAATTACTGTACAATTCTATGATTCTTTGATTTTATTGACTTAAGCAAGAAGCTGCTTCAAGCCCCTTGCAAGAACAGTAGTTCTTTTACTAGCGGGGGAAAGAAGGACCTTCTATTTGAAAAGCAGTAAATGGTTTCTCTTCTTGCCTGCATCAAGCAAGGAACAGCCCTTGAGGTCAGAGTTGGCTGAGAGACGGGCTTTCCAGCTCAAGAGTGCAGGAGATGATGCAGTCAGCAGCAGCCAAGGCTGTTTGCTGAAGAACTTGTGTCCCCATCCCGCGCAGCCTGTGCTTTTACAAAATGGATTTACATTAGCAGAGAGTAAGGTCATCTTGTTGCTTGACATGCCCTTCCCATCACTCTGTTTTCCCTAAGTCTGATGGAAAGTGGACAGTATGTTACATCAGGCTGTCTAGTATAGGCAAGTTGTCCTTGCCTTGTCCTACAGGACAGTGTCTGCTGGCACTGAAACCAACGCCGGGCAGATACAGAGGGAACGAGAGGAAAATGGTGCCTGGTGGTTTCAAACAGACCTGACAGGAAGTGATCACCCCCTAAACCAAGTGATGGCACCAGCTGTATCAGAGGATGGCATTAAAAGCCAGTGGGTGACACCAGAGGTGAAATCAGGGCTTCAGCTCTAGGCATGAGATGCCATAAATGAGATACCTGTCATGAGGAGGTGACAATAGTGATGGTGAGAGGGGAAGCTTCTCCCTGAGCACCAGCAGCAGCAGTAGCAGCTCTGCACCTGCATTAAGTATGACGTCAAAGATTTTTTTTTCTAAAGAGTGCAATTTACTGAACTTTCAAATCCTAAGATATTTTTACCTGCACATAGCCATGACAGCAACAAAGTCACAAAGGAATCCTTAACCTATTCATCCCATTGGACAGTATATTTTAGCAGAAATGTAATAAATTGGATGATGAATTGGGAAGATCTGGTAAAACCACCCTGACCAGCTCACTACAATCAGTGCTAATGCTGGAGAAAGTTGGTTTTCTTCACTTTTGCACCAGTAGTGTGTAACATTGCAACCAGTAACACAGGGATCTCAGAGACTTTTACTGAATCAGATCCTTCAAGAATGATACATTGTGATGCCATTCAGGACTAACAGATCTATATGAAGACATATATACAGTCAAGTAAGTCGGGGCTGCATGCTGAAATCTCAGTCTGACCCTAACAAGGCTCATCTTAGTGGCCTCAGGCCATTGGGGCTTCTTAGGAATGTGGTTTCATTTTTCCAAAACGTCCAACTTCTTGTATACCTCTAAAGGAGAACATTTGCATGTGAGTAATCCCAGAGCTGAGCATGATTTTCAGATCTGCTGGTCTACAATATAAGCATATGACACTTATTTCAGTGTAATGCTGCAGATCTTCTCAGTGTCTCAGTATTTAAGTAAAGCTGAACAAAGCTTTGCAGGCAGAGAATTTTTCTTCCCATTTCAGAAAGAAATTCAGCCTGAATTAAAGTGGGAATCTTCATTAATCAAAATATGCCATTTAATACTGTCAAAATAGATGTTCATATGTACTGAGATGACATTTACAGAATTTAATTTATATCTTTAAAACCGAAAAACGCAATCCTGAAAAAAGAAAAAGTTCGCTGAAATGTGAAGTATCTTAATTTTGATAAAAAATTTGAAGGAAATATTCTGGAAAGGGGGTACAGTTTGAAACATCCTTGTTCCTTTGGCAGTTCTTTGGTGAACTGGAGAATGGGCTATTCACAGAGTTACCCTTTTAACTGGCTGAGAGAATATCTGCTCACTGCTTCTCAAACCTACCCCCACAGCTTTATGTTTAAATGTTGATTCCCAGTTTTTCGTTCAGGCCTTCATATTTTCCAGGTCCCTTTGAATCCAGAAACATCTGGACTTAAGCAAGCCTTCATTTATTTTCACTCTGGCCTCGCTGAGCCACGCCAGGGGTCTCATGAGCAGGTGTGTGACTTGCAGGCTCCAAGGCTGTGAGTGCCAAGAGTCCTTGGCATGCCCCAAAGGCTTGTGACTCCCCACAGCACGTGGGGATGAACTCCTGATCCTTTATCACTGAGTTTCCACAAAAATATCCCACCCTCAGCCTGTGAGTGGAAGGGAGGACAGGAGGGAGAGGCGGAGCTCAGGTCAAGCTCCCTCGTTAAGTGTAGAGCTAATGCAGATGCCTCATTTTAAGTGTGTCCCAGAGCAGGTGACTCATTTTAGACATGTGCTTAAGCAGTTTGTGAGTCAAGGCTTTAGGCTTCTCAGGACAGACCTGCTCTCTCTGCAGCTCTGGGGTCTGGCACAGAAGGAAATTGGTTTTTGTTTGGTCTTCAAAGGTTGACTACATGAGGGTGAGGAGGCCCTGGCACAGGTTGCCCAGAGAAGCTGTGGCTGCCCCATCCCTGGAAGCGTCCAAGGCCAGATTGGACGGGGCTTGGAGCAACCTGGGACAGTGAAAGGTGTCCATGGCAGGGGGTGGAACAAGATGATCTTTAAGGTCCCTTCCAACACAAAGCATTCTCTGATTTCATGATTCTATGTTCCAAACAATAATTAGCCATTTGCAAGCGGTAGAAAAATTGGTGCAGTCCACCAGCTGTCCCCAGGGTGAATCAAATTTTAAGTATGAAGGGCTGTAGGTAATCCTGTTATCCCAAATGATGAGGCCTGGAGAAGGCTCGAAGGGGGTGACAGACATCTTCCCTCTCATGGCACAGGATGGAGCTGTACCCTCCTGGCACAGCAGCTTGTACTTCCCTTCCAGTCCATGGCATTGGGCTCAGTTCTTCCAGAGCTGTGCAAATAAAAAAACAGCTAATAAATAAAGTGTTCACTGTTTCTCTGGCAAAAGGAAGAAAAGTTACAAACCCCCCACCTACAATAGATTTTTTTTTAATGTGGTTGGATGGGAGCTGAAAGTCTATCACAAAGATGCTGCTTTGGCTTTGGTTTGACACTAGATTTTAGTCGGTCCAATGGAATTTTAACGCTATGGCCAAATATAACATCAAATAATGAAAAACTTCAATGGTAAACATTAACACAAACAGGCATCGAGTATATTAAACATCTTTTAGAATGCAACAGGCCAAATCTGCAAATTGGGAACAGGTCCCTGTGCTGGCACATTATAAAAGCAGGCTTCAGTTTGCCATCTCCAGGACCTGCCGATGGAATACAGTGGATATCTGAGTTCGACTCCATTACGCGTTTAGATTAAACTACATGTAGCATTGATTCAACTATTTATTTTGGCTACAAGGAACCAGTGTTCAAACATGGGTTCCTAAATGGGATGTCCATAGCCCAAATCTGCACTAAGGGGACTAAGTGCTTATTTTGTAAATCTGGCTACTGAGGCCAGCAGCTGAACCCAAGCCTCGTGAAGCCAGTGTTGAAAATGGGACTGAATTTTACAACACTCAGGGCCTGCAGTGTGTGCTTGGGGTTTTTCAAAAATGGAAAATCCCTGGTAGCTCCCTGGGGGCGCAGGTGGGAGGGCTGAGACCAGCAAGTCCTGCCTGGGCTCACAGCGTGTCTCCTGCCCCAGGCTGGGCTCACCCTGGCTCCTGTCCCAGCCCCAGCTGTGCTGACCTGAGTCAGGCACCCTCTATGGATGGAGCATGACCGGAGCACCAACTCATCTAAAATTTGCCACGTCAAAATAAACTCTCAAACTGCTACTGTCCAGATGAAATGGTTTCATTTGTTGTTCTTTGACTGTCCAGGTTTTAAGGGGTTGCTGCCTGCCACACATTAAGGTTGTAAGGGACTAATGGCTACAAAGCATCTGATGGGGGTTCAGCTGTCCTGGTTTTTGGGACACTGTGTGGTTTTTGGTGACTAGGAGTCCAGTGCTGGAGACACACACACTGGATTGAGAAGTGGTGCTTCTGCTTTTTCCAGTAAGTAAATAATAGATAAAGCAATAAATACGCCCTGTGAATAAGTCTGCCACTAAAATAATTTCTTAGCTATAGAACCAGTTCATACTTGAACCCCCATAGCATGCAAAGGAACAAACATGTCGCCTGAGCATTATATCCTTCTGTAGGCGACTGGGCTATGTCCCAAATGCCAGCTTCCAGCGGGGTTGTTTTCCCCACTTTGATTTTTAATTACTGATCACATGGAAGGATGGAGAGGAAAGGCCCAAGTTTGTTTTTTTTGTTCCTCATTTAATAATTTAATTTGTATTCTGATCTTCAAATCCCAATAGCATCATGTGAAGTACAGAAACTCGGCAGGGGAGGGGGGAGGAGGGATAGAGGAGGGAGCCAGGGCTTTCTATTTCCATATGGTGAGCCTCTCTTCCTCGCCATCACAGCTTGTCATCTGTCTTCTTTTAAACTTCAGATCCCCTTTAAAAATCTTCCCAGCAAAGAACGGGCTATAAATGTGACATAAAGACAGTTCAAGTGAAGAGATTACCATGGGGTAATCATGAAGCATGATTTCATTACAGGATTTCTTTACACGCGGGCAGGGATGCAAGAATAACCCAGGCCACGGGAACTGTGCATTTCTGAAGTGGTGTGCAGTGGCAGGACTGTTATTAATATTCTGGGGAGATTAGCCTGTATATTCCCCTTTCATTTACATGGCAGACAAAAAGATTCCTGTTTTTCTCGTAGTCAAAACTGGGATCAGATTAATGACTACCTGGATTTACCTGGTTTTAAAAGGGATAACCATCATGGCACAGCCGAGCCTCCCACCCCGCTGCATCGCCCTGCTAGGGACTACTCAGTATTAATATCCCACCAGCAGAAGGAAGGAAATTTTCCAGTTTGGAGACTTTTTATAAAGCAACAATAAGGTCATCTCCTGATGTACAACCACAGGAGAACAGCACAACATGTTTCACCTGAGATTCTGTGTCCTGAATGCTGCTCACATGCAACGCTTCAGAGCATCTTTCTTAATTAATTCATGCAAACTGTGCTTCAAAAATAAAGCTAATAGTTTATAATCTATTTCACTGTATTGAAAGCATCCCTGCAGCTGATTTCCCTGTAAGCCCCGCACAGTGGGTTGTTGCTGTGGGTCCGTGGAGGCACAGCATTCCCAATAGCTCATTCGTTGTGAATACTCTGGGTGCCGTTAAAACATAATAGTTTCTGCATAAGGGCCTCGCTTTCCGCCTGTGCTCTGCTCCTGCTCCTGCAGAAATGATTTGCACTGCTGATGGGGCAGTAGTGCCATGGGCCAGGTCTGGTAGCGGGAGGGGATTTTTGGGGAGCAATGAGGGTATGCACAGCCAAAGACTGTCCTCAGAGCCCTTCACAGCCATGCCACAAACACTGCCTGGGCATGGGGTGTGTGGCAAGGGCCGGCACAGTTCCACTGTAAGGAGGGAGATTGAAATGTGGGAGTTCCTGGCTTGGGTCAAGGTGTGTTTCTTTCTGTTCCTGCACACTGACATAGCCAAAGCATGCTCTGTACCAGAGCCATCACTTCTTTCTCTCCTTGTCCCAGAGATGTGCTGCAGAGAAGACTCAGAAGACAGAAGCACAGGGTGTACTGGGCCGTGCAGTGCTGCCATGGCACCCAGCTCACAGCTCGGAGAGGACTTGGCTGGAGGCAGCTCCGTCCATCCAGGTAAGGTGGTGCAGGTACAGAAGCTCCTGTGGGGAGACACAGCCATGCAGCCCCTACATCCCACTGCTCCTGCCCACCCAGCCCTCCCCAGGGCTGCTTAGCAAGTGCCTCTTTTTCCTTCCCTCCCCTCCTGCAGATGACAGGGAATGCATCAGGTCATGCCTGTGCAGAACCTGCTTCAGACAAACCCAGGCCATTGCCCTCTTGGAAATCCCACTGGACCTACAGAAACTGTTGCAGGACCCAAAGTGACCAGGTGGCCCAACCCCAATGGGCTGTGCCAGGGTTTCCTGATGTTCCTGCTCCGTTCCGATGAAACATTATACAGAAAGATATAGGCAAAGCATTATGCTCACAGCCTTTGCCAACAAGTTATGTTTTAATGTAATTTAACTGTAATCTCAGAGTGTTTTTGTTAGCTATAATTAGTAAAATATGTCTGTTTTCTGTGTTCCTTGAAGATGTCTGAACTCCTGCCAGTTCCCTATAGTTTTCCTGACATGCAGTGTAACAAGCAGACCACCAAAATGTATTTACCAATAACTGTTTATTTACATTCCATGAAATCTAATAACATTTGCTGTCTTCATTCGGGATAAATGCTCGCCAAAGTGTAAAGCATAAAAAAATAAACACTGCCTTACTTTCTAACCCAGTCTACAGAATATTTTATTTTTGCTCAATTTGCCCTGCCTGTTAGAATTTTGGCATTCTGCTGCTTGGAAGTTGAAAAAAAACAAAAAGGGTTGAAAAAGTTCTGTAATGTATCTTCCTGTTCAGTCCAAAACCTTGCAGGGATTTCCTGGACATTTTATGTTTTGTTTTAAAGTCTGCACAAGGCTGGTATTTAATTTCTTTGTTTTCATCTCTCACAAGTGTTTGAAACCATATTGCAGAGAAAATATCCAGGGCACTAAACAGCAGCGGAGCTTGGTGTTGCACCAGTGCCAGTGTGAAGCACTTCTCCTTCTCCCAGAGTCATGGGCTTTGCTGGTGCAGAAATACTCAGAATTAGGTCTGTATCTTGTTACTAACCAAATCTGCTCTTGTTCAAGAAAGTGTAACTGAGGGCAGAGTTGTCATCTCAAATCTCAAACAGGTTCCTCTCCTCCTGTATCTGGTTTTGTTTATATGAATACATGCTTGCTCAAAGCCCACAAATTCAGATGGTGTAGGGAGGAGAGGTCACACACAACAGCTGCGGGTGGTATCCACAGCTGGCAAAATCTGATGCAACCCCGTTAATGTCAGCAATGCCTGGTCCTAGCCCAGCTGGGGGGTGGGCTGGTGTTTGTACCTGGCTCTGTAATGCCCAGGATGGCATTGGTCTCTGAGAGCATCGCAGGAGTCAGACACATGCGGAGCAGCTGGGTGGACTCTGGCAGGCTGTGTGTGCACAGTGGGTGCCAGACTTTCCTGGTGTCATTGGCAGGTTGTGCCATGATCCAGGTAGAGCTGGGTAGAGCAACAGCCTTTTCTGAGTTGAGCAGTGAGATGGGTTTGAGAAGGAACAGAAGTCCCCGAGTCTCCTGCGCTGATCTGACAATGTGCAGCAAACGCAGCTGCCGAACGTCACCACGTCCCCTCCCAGGGCAAGGACAGCCAGCAGAGCCTGGGTGGCTGCAGCTGCAGGGAGCCTAAAGACCTCATACAGTTGGCTGTTGCTGCTCCTCAGCTGCTGTACCAGCGCCCTGTGTCTGCCCTTGCTGGGCTTCAAGCTGTGCCTGGAGCGTGGAGCTGGCACAGGGCTGCCCCAGCGCTCTGCAGCCAGCCCTGGGCTTTCATCCTGCCTGAAGGACTTTCCTTGCAAAGTCACCCAGCCCAGCCACATCTCTCTGGCATGGGATTTGGGGGGCCTTTCACACCATCTAGAGAACACCTGTTCAACTAGGTCTGAGGTCTGAGAAACCTCAGGCATGCTTTGGAGAGGCAGCTCTGGGCCATGTGTCTTTATGGGGCAGCAGTCCCTTTTCCTGGAGTACAAAGTCACTGTGCCTAGTACAAAACCTAGAGGAGCCCCAAACCACAAGTGAGACCATGGTACTGCTGCAGCTTTGGAGAACTCACTTTCAGAGATGCTCCCTGGAAAGCCATCTCCAATTTTACTGCTGACACAACTGGTACTTTGTTAAGGCAGAACCTTCTGCACTATTCTGGATACTTTCAGTTAAGGAGTTCAACAGACTGAATGTTAACAAATTTGGCCTCAGATTAATAGAGTTCTCCAGGAAATTCTGAGCAGCCCCATTCTGTGGCAGAGATCATAGGAGACATCCTCAACTCCATGTTTCCAAACTGCCTTGGGCTCTCATCTCTGTACTAGTGAATTGAGGGTAAAACTTTCCCTGCCTTCAAATGAGAGCAAAATTTCAAAGATTTTGGGGGGCTCCCTTGAAAAATATCAGCATCAAAGGTAACAAAAGTGAAACTCAAAATCCAATCCGAGCAAATACAGCTGTTGGTGTGGGATGAGGAGCCTGCACTGTCATCATCTCCCTCTGAACTCAACAGTGGTGGCATGGAGAAACAAATTGCCAATGTACTCAGGCTTCTGGCAGAGTTCAAGTAAAGATCCTTTGGGATAATTAAAAAAAATAAAAAAAGAACCCTGAAAATTGTCAGTTACCCCATAGAAAACTGTGATTTCTTTTGTTGCATTTCTGTAATTCCTGTCATTTTCTAGTTTCATGTTTCTCATGGGTAAGGTTTGCATTGGTACTGGTTAGATGCTTTGGGAGCAGAGGAAGGAGAGGGGTTCAAAATGCATTAAAAAACTCCAAGGAAACTCCTCTCCTGTGCCCACACACAACAGACAATGCACACCTCAGCACTCCACCAGTGTTCCGGTGGGATGCTCAGTAAATTGAGCTGTAAATAACTCCATAAACTGTTCCCTGCTGAAATCATGTGCCCTAAAGTAAAGAGCTTTCAAAAGCAAGTGCACAAAGATGCAACACGGTGTGATGGGCATGGAGATGAAATCAGCCAGGAGGTAGGTGTGGTTGCACGGTTGGTCCTGCCCCTCCAGTGCCAGTCCTGCCCCTCAGGACCAGTCCTGTCCCTCCAGCACCTCGCATTGAGGTATTCCAGTGCTACCTCAGCAGCTGCTTTGGTGGGTGGTTTTGTGGTCCATTAAACCACGCTGGGCTCAGCCACCAGGGTGCTGTCGTGTGACCCAGCCACTGGCCAGTCAAGAGGGTTGGTTTTGAGCACTAAGCACTGCTATATAAACCAGCCCTGGCATGTTAGAGGCCAAGAATATTTCCTGGAGAAGATAAATACTGGGAAGTGAGAAGCAAAATAGAAAAAGAAAATTGTCATGTGCCAATAGGAGGAAAAACCAGAAGAAAATGCTTCCACCTCATGTTTACAACCAAGCTGTCCCGAGGTGCTTGCTGCACTCAAGGAAGATGTGGCTTTGGAGTGGGAGATGAAATCACCTTAGGACTTCTGGACCACAGGAAAAATTTGGGAGATAAAGGCTAAAATTAACAGACAGACCCAGCAATAACAAAATCCCCTGGTAGAAGGGAGATTTCCTTCATCACATAAACGTGACCAAGCACAATCCCCAAACCTCTATTCATCGGCCCCTTTATTGCAAATTCTGGCTCTTTATCATTTAAGCTGGAAATTTCTCTATTTTCTATCTGTAAAAGCAACAACAGATACCCAGTGTGACAATCTGGGCCTTTTGACAGTGACAGGAGAAAAGACTCGAACCAGGCTGAGAGAATGGGGATTGGTCAGCCTGGAGAAGAGAAGGTCCCAGGGAGACCTTACAGCCTCTTCCAGTGCCTAAAGGGGCTCCAAGAGAGCTGAAGAGGGACTTGGAACAAGGACATGGAGTGACAGGGCAAGGAAGAATGGCTTTAAGCTGAAAGAAGGTAGGTTTAGATTAGACATTAGGAAGAAATTGTTCCCTGTGAGGGTGGTGAGGCCCTGGCACAAGTTGCCCAGAGAAGCTGTGGCTGCCCCTGGATCCCTGGAAGTGTCCAAGGCCAGGTTGGACGGGGCTTGGAGCAACCTGGGATAGTGAAAGGTGTCCCTGTCTATGGCAGGGGGTAGAACAAAAGTGATTTTTAAGGTCCCTTCCAACCCTTATAATTCTATAAAACTGCAACATTGTAAAAATTATAAATAAAGTAGCCCAAGAACATTAAGTTCTTATAATTTATTGGAACTTGTTAAAGTAGACTGGTCTACTTTTTTTCATTTGCAGTTGGGATTCTCTGTGAAGGTGTATGGAGAGTGCAGAACTGGATGGGCTTTAAGGTCACCTGGCTGAGAGTCCCACTACCCCCAGCTGAGCGTCGGCTTCGTGCCTTTGTAAAATGCTCGGCAGAGGAGGCAGAAAAGTAGGTCAATCTCTGCTCACAAATACACCTCTTACATGTCGCCAGTTCTAATGAAATTAGGGAATGAACCAGTATTAAAACCTGGGCAAAGGAGAGCAAAACTTGGTTGAACTCTCATAGGGACAGCGAGTCCAGCTGTAGCTACTGACTAGTCCATGTGTAAAAAAACTTTAGAAATAAAATAAAATAAAATAGTCCTATGTGTTCTTAAAGAGAAAAAAAATAGCAAAAGCAGGGGGGAAAAAGTGACTACCTTAACATAGCATTTGGCGCAGACATGGCCCTGGAGCCCTCCTTGTCTGTACCCCCACCCCTGACTCTTTCCTCCCTCTTTCCAACACTCCAGCTATTTTTTTGGTAATCTATTTCACAATCAAAAGCTGCTTTTCAAGAAAAAAAATAAAACAACAACCCAAAAAGCTGTCTGACTCATCCAAGCAGGACCCAGTCTAGTTTGGATGCAAACACTGGGAAAACAGCAGTTGGGTGTGGGAGCAGCTGCTGGGGCAGCATTTCTGGGGTGTCAATTCAGCCCTGACCAAATGGGCTTCTTTTTTTTTGCTTCTTTTTTTTTTCTTTTTTTTTTTAAGTACCCCGACAATTAGTGGTAAAAAGGTCACTAGTAAAAATGAGTTTTGTGGTTTTGCAACTTTGCATTAAAAAAACCACCATGCTTCTGGCAGCACGTCCCCTGTTGGCAGCCTTTCCACAGGCAGAACTGAATAAGCACGAGGCTGAAAAGCCCGTTCACATTGGTCCCTCTAGGTCAGGCTTTCGTTACTTTAGCAGGGTATTTGGGAGTTTGTGTTGCACCTGCCTGCAGTACATCTGGTTGGAGAATTTAAAAAAAGCAGGGGTTTAGTGTTCCCTAAGTCCCAGCTTCTCACCCTCCATGAACCCTGCAATATATCATTTGCAATTAAAATATAATGAAATCAAATTGTGAGATCATTTCAGAGTTAGTGACCCCGGTGTTTAACAGGTTGTGAATGTTTTTACAAAGGCTGAGGTGATAGAAATATTTTATTCTATATTCTTTATCCTTCAGAGACCTCAGAGTAATAAACAATTAAGTTAAATTCAAACTAACTGTGGATAACACAAATTCTCTTTTATTGAGTGTCCAATACATTGCTTTTTTTCTTTGTGCTCTTAAAGAACTGGGACCCAGGTTTGAGGTGTTATCAGAGATGATGAAAGCAACTAAACGTTACAGTTCCACTTAAGGTTTTGCAATGAGAAATTATATCAAATACAGCCTGGAAGGGATCTGATGCTGTCTAATGGTCCAGG